TCTTGTACACTATTCATGGACGTTTATTCACGGCTTCTAAATTGCACGCCGGGTATTTGGTAGCTTCAATCAGAATGGCTATGAATCGAAACATGATCATGAAAACTTATCTCGTCGACTCATCCATTGTGAAGTACCCTCATTCGATTGTTCACATACACCGACCTCCCGGCTCTCTTGATACTGTGGACGGAACCCGGCCAGCGTGTTGGTTGAAACACACCGAAATGGAGAGCTGCCACATTCCTAGAGCGTGGCAACATGGCAATACTGAGGCTTGCACGAACCCAAGACGGCAATGACATGCTGCAGAGAGACGATCATATAGAAGATCAGCGAGGCTTAGAAAGCTTGCTAGACAGTACGACTCGGTACAGCGGAATCGCTCCGTGCTTTTCTCCCCGGAGGACTCCGCAACAACAAAATGTGAACTCTACTCGTGGTGACCGGGTTGGCGCTTCCCAGCAGCCCGGATCACACCACTATCTGCTCATGTGTAGTGCTCTCCGGTTGACAGCTATTCGGTCCTTGCATGCTCCTATTCGCGCCGCAGTACCCCTTCGTGCGAAGTTCTCACGCCAACGTCATTAGTTCAAATTTTGTCGCACCTTCCCCGCGATTTACTAGGTGGTGTGGAGGCCCGCGGCTACCAGGACTCTAGCCTCTGACTAGGATTTGGCTGGGTGAAAGGAGCGTTCATCCGATGCAGCTGACGGACCGGATGAGCTGAGTATCTTGCGCTCTCAATGTTTGCAATCCAGGTCGCCCACGTGCATACAGCGATTACTCTAGCTCGGGGTTGTGGATCAGTGTTATCCTCGCCATACCGGTGCTCGCTCGAAAAAGGGCCGAGCTAGCTGGGGGTACGACGATATGGTCCGTAGGGCTGCCCCTTCGGCTTTAGCGTAGTGGCTCCGATGGTGGGTATGTTTTGCTTGAATACGTGTCTAGAGCTCCGAGCTTAGTCCTGCGGTATGCGTTACAGAAAGATGCTGTATCGAGATGACCACGCGCCGCAAGTGGAGAAATGCCTTTTGCGGATGCGCATCAGTTGCCAATAGGTGTCTATTCCAAATTGGAGAATCCAGTACCGCGTGTAGCAGGGTTAGCTGCGGCTTCGACGACTTCCAGAGCAGAACTGCGGGGGAGGGGTAGCTTACCACTGGCTACGAAAGCGGGGCAAGAGCTTCCGCCGTTGCATCAAGCGCCACCCGGCCATGCATCGTCGAGACACGCAATAGGCTGCAGCGCTTTCCTGAGACTGGCTCCTGATGGCCGAGGCTGTCTGGGCGATCGTACTGTTGTCCTGTCTCGAGTGGAGATAACCTCTAGTGTCGTCATGCGGAGCTCCTGAAAGTACTTAAGGATTTGCTTGTGCCTCTACCCCTCCTTCACTTCACAGCTTTGTTTTGTCCATATACCCCAATTCGCTTTCGCAATGACATCCGTAAAGCTAACAACCCCCCAAACGGGCGAGTACGAGCAGCCCACCGGACTGTAAGTCAGATATCCAGTTTCCGATATTCTTCGGAGAGTTTGTAATGCTTCGGCAACGTCAATACTGACATCAACCAGCTTCATTAACAATGAGTTCGTAAAGGCCGTTGACGGCAAGACCTTCGAGGTCATCAACCCATCTACCGAGGAGGTTATCTGCAATGTTGCCGAGGCCACCGAGAAGGATGTTGACATTGCTGTCGCTGCCGCACGCAAGGCCTTCAACGGCCCATGGCGGAAGGAGACACCAGAGAACCGAGGAAAGTTGCTTGTCAAGCTCGCCGACCTCTTTGAGAAGAATGCCGATCTTCTCGCCTCAGTCGAGGCTCTCGACAACGGTAAGGCTTTCAGCATGGCCAGGAACGTCGATATCCCTGCCGCTGCTGGTTGCTTGAGGTACTACGGAGGATGGGCCGACAAGATTGAGGGCAAGGTCGTCGACACAGCGCCCGACAGCTTCAACTACATTCGCAAGGAGCCCGTAAGTTGCACACTGTTCCAAGTCAAAGTCCCGTGACTAACAATTCCAGATTGGTGTTTGCGGACAAATTATCCCATGGAACTTCCCCATTCTCATGTGGTCATGGAAGATTGGTCCTGCCATCGCCACTGGTAACACCGTTGTCATCAAGACAGCTGAGCAGACTCCTCTCTCCGCATACGTAGCCTGCAAGCTCATCCAAGAGGCCGGTTTCCCACCAGGTGTCATCAACGTCATTACTGGTTTCGGAAAGGTCGCCGGTGCCGCCATCTCCGCCCACATGGATGTCGACAAGGTTGCTTTCACTGGTTCAACCGTCGTCGGCCGTCAAATTATGAAGGCCGCTGCTGGCTCCAACTTGAAGAAGGTCACTCTCGAGCTTGGAGGCAAGAGCCCCAACATTGTTTTCGCCGATGCCGATCTCGACGAGGCCATCCACTGGGTCAACTTCGGTATCTACTTCAACCACGGACAGGCTTGCTGCGCTGGATCGCGTATCTACGTCCAAGAAGAAATCTACGACAAGTTCATCGCTCGCTTCAAGGAGAGAGCCGCCCAGAACGCCGTCGGTGACCCATTCGCCAAGGACACTTTCCAGGGACCTCAGGTCTCGAAGCTCCAATTCGACCGTATCATGGGGTAAGCAATGTCATGTCCTTCCGAAACTAAGACCAATACTAATACAAATTCTAGCTACATCGAGGAGGGCAAGAAGTCGGGCGCAACCGTCGAGACCGGCGGCAACCGCCACGGCGACAAGGGCTACTTCATCGAGCCCACCATCTTCTCCAACGTAACCGAAGACATGAAGATCCAACAAGAAGAAATCTTCGGCCCCGTCTGCACAATCTCCAAGTTCAAGACAAAGGCCGACGTCATCAAGATCGGCAACAATACCACCTACGGTCTTGCTGCCGCAGTCCACACCTCCAACCTCACCACTGCCATCGAGGTTGCCAACGCGCTCCGTGCCGGAACTGTCTGGGTCAACTCTTACAACACTCTTCACTGGCAGCTGCCATTCGGTAAGTTCTGGTTGTACGAAATGCATGTGAGACATTACTGACTTCTCTACAGGTGGTTACAAGGAGTCTGGTATTGGCCGCGAGTTGGGTGAGGCGGCGCTGGACAACTACATTCAGACTAAGACTGTTTCCATTCGTCTTGGTGATGTACTGTTCGGTTAAGTAGGTGGAGATGGATTCGAGTGAGTACTGTGTATAATTCAAGTAATCATGGAGAATCTGAATGAATGAATGTAAAGAACCACAACAAGCTTTCTAATGTGTGATCTGCTCGCATTTGATACGTTTCCGATGATATCGACCTACCTATCTAGGCAACCTCTTTAGATTGCCTTACCTTCTAAATGAGTCACGTACCACCTGCCCTATCTATCTAGAGCTACAAAAGTCCCGAGACAAGAGAAAGCTTATCATCCCACCCCACTTCCACGCCAAAACATCCAAGACGACACATCTCCCGTTTTCCATGCACCACCACCCACCACCCATATGCTCCTCTAGAGTTTATCACCTTCTCAACGCTCCCAAAAATGCCTCTCCCACCCATCACCCCACCCCTCCTCAACTCCGCAAACCCATGGTGCACAACCCTTGAACAACTCCAGGAACTCTACGACAGTCCACACACAGGCGCCATCACAACGCGCACATCCCTCCTCGGCGGTTTCCCACACGATCCTGCCCACCATCAATTCACCTTCTTCAACCCCTCAACGCACGCAACCAGCACGCCGAACAAAGACCTCGGCGGCGATGCCAGCACGACAGGGAGTTTGAACACGTTGGGGTACTCACCCATTCCACTGGCCGAGTATCTAGAATATGTGAAGACGATTAGTAGGAGGATGAGCGACGTACCTTCAAACGGGCGGGAAAGTTTCAAGCCGATAATTATCTCCGTAACCGGCTCTGCAGAAGAGATAGCACAATGCTACAGCCTCATCTGCACCACGCAGTCCGATGTCAAGATGCCGCTAGCCATGGAAATCAATCTCTCCTGCCCCAACATCCCCGGAAAAACGCCGCCAGCGTACAACACTGCTGCTCTCCGCGAGTATCTGGCCGCGCTCAAGGTGGCGATTGATGTAGGCCTGACGAAAAGCGGGGGCGTAACGCAAATTCCCGTTGGCATCAAGATCCCGCCGTACACGTACAGCGAGCAGTTCGAGGGGTTGGTTGGTGTGTTAGTGGAAAGTGGGCAGAACAGCATGAAACCCGTTTACCTACCCACACCGATATCTTTCATCACAGCCGTAAACACACTGGGTTCGAGTTTACTCCTCTCAGATGGAGAAAGTGCAACACCGGCTTTGAACTCTGCAAGCGGCACCGGAATAGGCGGGCTGGCAGGCGCGCCGCTGCATCCCCTTGCGTTGGGTAATGTGGCTACGTTGCGGCGGTTGCTGGATCAGTCTGGCTCTGAGGAGGTGAAGGGGATTGTGGTTATAGGTGTGGGTGGTGTGGAGGATAAGGCTGGGTTTGAGAGGATGAGGAGTGTAGGGGCGGGGGCTGTGGGTGTGGGGACGGCGTTGGGGAGGAAGGGTGTGGCTGTTTTTGGGCAGATTGTTGAGGAAGGCATGTAGAGCTGTGAGTTCTGCTATGCAATCACGAGGTGATCATTGTTAATGAGAGAATAACGTGATCATGTTCAAAATGCTGCATTAATGAGGCTAGCGCTACCCTACTCTTTCGATGATAATGTACAAGAAATTCCAACCGGACTCCAAGACACAAACCCTACCCCCCATCCCAGTAAACCCCAGAATGAAAAAAAGGAAAGCAATGCAAAGGATTTGCCGCCCATAAATGCTATGCGCCGATGCATGCCAGAGTAGTTGCCAATTTCATTACCTTTGTCTTTCCGTGATTGCGCCCAAACGCCATGCTTGCGTCCCTGAAGCCGATGAAAATTCAAAACGCCAGTTCAAAAAGGAATTAGAGAAAAGACGTGTCTGGGGGACCAACTTCTGCTCTGCTGACTTCGCTCGACTTCTTCCTTAGAAGCTGGCATAGCCCGTATCTTCGCCACCGGCATCGTCCATCCAGCCCGCGCCGACTTCACCTAGGCCAGGGCCGTGGTGATGGTTGCGTGCCATACCCTCACCCTCGCCTCGTTCGACCCACTCTTCGTTGATGTCGTGCCAGATGCGCTGGAAGTAGAGGCGCAGCGACCGTAGACCACGAAGGTAGCCTCTATCAATGCCATCCGGGTTCTGGGGTGGGCAAGGTAAGTCGTCAGGTAGCGGGTCTTCTGCGGTGACGCAGTTGGCGAAATCGACAATCTTGAGCTTAATCTCTGGGAGATTCTTAGGTGTCGGTTTGGTGGCGGATGTTGGCCCTGGTGATGTGGGTCCAGACGGTATTACTGAGACATCTTCGCTGCTCGGGTTCGACAGACCATTGGGCAGAGAGGGTTGCGCGTCTTTTTCCTTTGACTCTCCATCCCCACGATCGTAGAGCATCAGCAAGCTGCTTGCGTAGAATCGGTAGCCTGGAAGGTTCCGTATCATGCGCTCCAGCTGACTGATCTTCTCCAGTATGACAGGAATATGTCTTGTCGCTGCTTTGTAACTTGTCCCATCCCAGAAAAAGCGCTTCAGCGCATCCTGGAACTCTCTGCCAGCCTTCAAGTCGCGGCCAAAGTACTTGTCTTCAAAGATGTAGCTTTGGGTTTTGGCGTTCCAGATCTGCATGCCACAGACACGTACGCCGAGCTGGGCACTCGTTGTCATCTTACACTTGCGTCTTTGAGACTTTTGTTTCTTCTCATCGGCTTCCACTCCATACTGCCGCGTGCCCATTTTCAGGTCCAAGACACAAGGCCTAGACATGCCTGCGGTAAGGTCTTCCAGAAGGATGAAGTGCTGAACGCGCTCGTCAGGTTGTTGCTGCGCTTCTTCGGGATTAGAAGGCTCCTCGCCCAGTGGGGCGCCGTTGCCATTTGGTGCGGCAGGGGCTGGTAGCATAGTGCCCTCTGGTGGATTCTGGGAATGGAACCCATTTGTTGCGCCAGATGTCTGCACAGATCGGCCTCGGTGCTGATCTTTTGCGTCTGACATGGCATTGCGATCCTCGTCCATAGCAAATACTTCTTCCTCTGCGTCACCACCGTAGCCATCCTCTTCGTAGTATTCCAGGTTGTGTCTCTGGACAGTATCTATTCCCAAGGGCCTTCTAGTCAGTCCGCTGCCAGAATGACGACGGCGAGGAAGATTGTTCGATGGCGGCTTCAGGGCATCGGCGGTGGTGTCTGGCTGGCCAAGGGAGCTGGAAACGGCAGCATCAGCGCTCCTTTCCGAGGCGAAGCGGTGCGCTTCAGCTTTGAGAACTTGTTTCCGTGTAGACTCTTCTGTGAGTGGTGGATGCAATCCAGCTACATCTGTGCTGTTCCTCCTTATCGTAGGCGCAGAGCCAGCCACGTTCTGCGGAACGTCTCCTCCTGTCTTACGAGCTGAGATCCCGTGATGATGGTGGCGTGGCCGATGATGAATAGTCGGCGGCGCAAAAACCTGCCGGAGTACCTCCTCCTGTAGCTTTCTGTTGATCGTCGTCACACCCCAGCTGCTAGCATGCTGCAGTGGGGGCCGACTTGGACTCGTAGAAATGTGACCATAGTCACTTTGGTTTCGTCGATGTTGTTGTTGCAACAAGGAAGCATTGCGCATCCATGGATCTGGGGTGGTGGAGCGCGGTGGCACACGGAACAGATTGTCTGGGATTATGTGCCGGTTGTTCTCAAAGATGACCTGGGGGATGGGCATAATCTGCTGCGAGTGGCTGACCACTCGAGGTTGTTCCGCATTGCCCCGGTCTTCGGGAGCCTTTGAAGCCTGTCTTGACGCGCTTTCCGACTGCGTCGCTGAAGCAGTGGGAGCAGCATCCGATTTCGCTTTGTCTTTGGCAACCTTCTTCTTCTTGGGGGCTTTTCGGTAGGTCACGTTCAACACGCCGATGTATCTAGATGTCAATGTTAGCAAATATCCTAATCAGGAACCGAGGCGAAGGCAATGATCTTCGCTGATGTCTCAGCCTCGATCAATAGCGGGGGGAGATTTCGTACCTTGGCAAGAATTCCAACAGCTCAGGATGCTGCCGCTCCACTGTTTCGTAAAACTCATTCTCTCGATTGTTTAGCTGTTTGCATACTGCTCGCCTAGAGAAACGGTAAACAGTAGAATGACCGCCAACTTGGTGATCGTATGGCTTCAGCTCCACAGCACCCAGTGGGGCCGGCGGCTGAGCCACCTGAGGCGCAGCAGCCTTAGGTTCCTGTTTGTGCGAAGTCGCAGTGGGCGTCGTTCCTAGTTCATCAGTCGCACTGGATTCATAACCAAGATTTGATTGAGTAGACTCGGCGTGCGACTCAGACTCAGATTCAGCTGAGAGCGCATCGGGAGCGGTCAGCGGCTGCTCTTTATCTTTCTTCAAGGAAGTCGCCGTGGAGATATCACCATGAAGGCATTGATTGGTATCTTGGGCCTTTAGAGAAATTTCTACTTCTTGTGGAGTTTGAACATCCTTCTCTGTGGCCCACCCTTTCGGCCCCGCAACCTCGTGAGTTGAAGCCCGCTTATCGACAGCATTCACCTCTCTATCTCGGTTCTGTGGTTCTGTAGGCACCTGCTCACTTGTCTTAAGCCGGCGATGGGGAAAGTAGAGAGCCGAAGAGATCTGTTCTTTTTCCGATTCTTCATCTTCCTCCGAGCCTGGCGTACGTTCTTTATCGCCTCCGTCTTTAACCTGAAAATAATCGGACGGCTCGTCATAAGGTGTCGCTCCGTTCGTTGGTGCATGCGCGTGAACCTTTTCGACAGCTGATGTGGGTAGACTGCGAGAGAACGAAGACCGTGGGTCCGCACCAGGAGTCAGGTTGCCGAAGCCGCGAATGTCCTCGAGAAGACGCCTTGGAAATTTGTGCTTGTCCTGAGAACTTGCGTCTGGTCGCGTGCTTCCGTTGGGAGGCGGAGAGGCAACGCCTGACTCGGTGCGGGGCGCCGCTTTCGCATCGAAGTATGAATCAGTCGGACCGCCTAGAGGTGATTGCACGACGGAGGAAGCTAGTGATGCGCGGCGCAGCTGGTCAATGAGGCCGATAGTCTCGGTTGAGCCTTCTTCTGAAAGTGCGGACAGGGTCCTCTCAGCAGAAGGACGCTCTTTTGTCTTGTTGTCCTTCTTTTTCGGCTCTTCGGTAGGATCGCCATCCTTGAATACACGCAGATAGTGACTTGCTTTTCGACTGCGTGCGGAAGTGGGTTGTTCGGTCTTGGCAAGCGTTGCTTCAATCTTCTTCTCCATTTCCACGTCCATGACGGGCTGATCCAAGATCATGTTGCCCTTGAATGGTACAGGCTTCCCTTCGCGCCACTCCCTGTTCCTGCGCCTCTCCTCGCTCTCCAGCAGAGCCTCGTATTGAAGCTCGGGACGTGGCGGGGTGGTGGGATGTTGTACGGGCGAGTCGACTGGGCTCATGTAGGGCGGAGGACTGTGATGGATGGCGTCGAACGTCATGCCGGCTGCAATGGCTGCGCGGGGGTTAAAGGGGGTAGTCAGGACGGCTTGGTGGTCGATGGAAGAAGGCGGAGGAAGGGTGGAATGCTTCCTGCGTATGATGGGCGGATCCATCAATCGCCTCTGGGGAGGTGCTGGCGCTGCCATCTCAGCCAGACTGTGTTCGGGAGCATCGTTGGCAGAATCTACATTGCGTGCGCTGGCCCGCGGGGAGGAGATGGGGCTGTCGGAGACGAGATACGTGGTTGCGAAGATGCTGTCGCGCTCGTCGAGCTGGGGGCGGTCAATTGACGACTTCCAGAGGTTGCTCTCGTTGACAATGGGCGCGGTGCGTGAACGGCCCGTCTGCGCGAGGCTCTTGGGCGTCACTTGGTCGTGCTCGGCGTCGGGCGTGGGCAGTCCATGGCTGGCATTCGACCTCACCGATGCGGGGGGTGAGGTATTTCCTTGGGCGTCCGGCTGGGGTGACATGGGCTCGACATTGATTCGACCGTCAGGAAGGCACCTCGTGGCGGGATGGGTGGCAGATATTGCCGGGCGGGCGCTCAGGACGTTGGCCAGGATGCGGTCGTTTGGGCGCGGCGGAGACACAGCGGAGGGCCAGCAGGGGCGGATCTTCTAGATTAGCGTGCAGAGCAGGCGCTGGCGGATGCGAGGGCTGCAGGCGGTGTTCCAGGGTGCTAGCGAGCGACGAGACCAGTGAGAAGGGCGAGAGGTCCACGTTCTAATTCTGTGTGGTTTGGCGTCCAGTCCAGAGTGGCGCAAAGATTATCCCAAGCGAGCGGCCCAATGACGTCTGCCTGACTGCTACCGCGTAACAAAGCGCGTCAGTGCAGGTGGTCCGAGTGGTGGTGGTTGTTTCGCGACGCCGAGTGCAGTGAGTGGACGCGAGTTTGTTCTGCTGCAGTACGGAGGCAGTGAACAGGTGGCTTGTTGATTGATAGCGACAGAGGCAATCGGGCTTGGCGGCAACTGCGCACGCAATGCTGGCAGCTCTTGTCATGGGTTCCTGTCTGGTGAAGACGAGGAAGGAGCGTCTGTGCACGCAGACGATATCGGTTCACGGACAGCACTAGCAGCACAACGTTGACGCTACAACCCACGACACATGCTGTCACGATAGGGCGCAGAGGTTCGCTACCGCTTCACTTTGCACGTTATTTGGACACCACTGTCAATTTCCCAAGCACCGTGACACAAGCTAGACTTCCTCCCGCCTCCGCGCCCTCCCCAGCGTGGCCGTGCAAAGGCCCGTATCCAAACTATGCGGTACCGGCTATACCGTCCCATCGCGATTGCCTCACCCCCTTTCGCCGATATCAATCCGTGCTCCCCCAAGGTCTGCTGCTTGCATCGACTGTGCATGGGCGACAGGTGTCGACGGCCAATCACTCGAGAACGTGGCCTCTCACCGCCTGCTGCATCCTTACGTGACTATCGCTGCACGTCGCTGTGATACCGGTACAGAATGCTTCTCTCTGGCAATATTCAAGTGCCACGGCGCTCAGAGCCACTCGTAGCACGTAGCTATGCCGATGCTTCCGCGGTGCTCCTACCAGGAGTGCGCTGCGTGCAGAAATGATCTTGGTTCTTTGTCATAGTATTCAAGTGTCGTTTATATTGCGAAGAAAGCGATCTGTGAAATCCAGACTACCGGTAGGGCCGAAGTCGCCAAGTGACGTGTCGATGTTCAGCGCTGGAAATCCGACCTCATTCAATCCCCCTTTCGACCTGTCACCAAAGGATCCGTGAGATATTTGGGAAGCTTTGTCCGTGGTGAAGCTCCAAAACGACGTGATGTTGTCCTTGTTCTTCAGCGGGACCCGCTCAGCAGTAGGAGTGGGGCTCTTAGCGACCGCGTCAGCTCTCAGTACCCCATCACTAGGGCTGAAAGCGAACCTCAAGTTGCTTCTTTGCGTTTCTTCCGGCTTCTTTTTCACGGTACTAAATGCGAACGGAGACACTGCGCCGAAGAGGTCTTGCGTGCTGATCGGTGGAGCTTGGAGAATAGTCTCGGGTGCAAGTGGCTCGTCTCGCTGGACAGTGAAGGCAGAAAGAGGTGTAACGGCTGCACTGGCTGCGGCTAGTATGGGACGGGGTGTATCAAGAAGTGAGGTTTGCGAGTCCAATTGGAGAACCTCCGGGGACATCATGGGGAAGGTGCTTTGCTGGAACTCAAGCTGAGCTCGCATCATGGCGGCTTGTGTAGACCAGTCAGAGTCTCGACTAGACCGACTCGTGCACAGTTCAGAGTTTTCATTCTGGATCACACTGGCATCTCCTTCGACTTGTGGAGACGCTTGTACATCGACCACAACTGCCTCTGTTGGATCCACCTGCAGCTCATCGTCGGCCTCGTTGTGGATGACGTATTCTGCACATGACTTCTTGGCAGAAGGAATCTTCTCTGGCGATGAGTCGAAATTCACTACTCTCGGCTTCAGCTTGGCCTTTTTACGGGGTTTGCCAGTTGAAGAAGCCGGCAAAGGCGAGTTCACGGGACCATGCTGTGCATCTGTAGGCGTGGGCGCATCTTGCGTATTTCGACGACTGGAGCGCCGTGGCTGTCCTTTTGATATCGATGCAGGTGCTTGGCGGCCAAGAAGTTCTGCAGACTGTTGTACGTCTTGTCTTGTCGGCCTTCCTTGACTGTCCATTGAAGAAGTGACGATCGGTATGGTCCGCTGCGACCGTGGTGGGCTTGCAGTTGGTTCAGACTGAGCTCGACCAGGTGTATCAGCATTCTTGGCCGGCGATGAGATGACCATCGAAGCTGAGGCACTTGATCTCCACTCCTCCTGAGCTGAAGTCTCGGGAGCTGACCTCTGAGCCTGGATGGGCGCTTTTGGCAGGCTGAGTCGCAGTTCTGACAACGTTTGTGTTTGTGTTTGTGAGGTGACATTCCGCGACCGCGACCGCGATGGAGACGTGTCCGTGTTCCTATTCGAAGCCTTGCGCATGTCGACTCGTGCTGACTCAGGGCGGCGCAACCAGAACGGGTTGGTCATGGGGGAGCGATTTTGTACGCAATTGTTCGTGTTTGTACTGAAGGGCTCTGCGGTACCGGGTGCGTCATCATCGTCGGGTAAGGGTGCTGTCGCGGGCGGGACTTCGATTTCGTCGAGGCTATCGTCGTGTTCGCGGTGGTTCAACTCATCCCTGGCAGCTCTAGACGTTTCCGGTGACGCCAGCCGGGGCGCAACATCTTCCACGACGTCCTGGCCGTTGCCTCCATTCAGCCTTGAGCTGCTCCTACGTTTGGTGGTGTTGCGACCGACCGCGACCTTCTTGCTATTGGCGTTCTTTGTGCACGCTACTGCATTATTCTTGCCCGATACCCTCCGCTTCTCTACTATGGGCTTCGTCCACGGGTTCTTCCAGCCATTGTCGAAGGGCCCTCTCAGCGCGGCTGTGATTATGACGGGCGGTCGGCCGCGTAGGTATCGGGATGCAATGGCCTCGATTCTGCGTCGCTTTGCTGCCCTATGCGCAGGGTCTTCGTACTCCGCCGGTGGTTCTTCGATGAGGTCTTCGGGGTCGACATGGAAGGCGTCAAAGTCCAGTCCCCGCTTCAAGTGAGGATGCAAGCTCGGCGGCATCGCTCTGAAGGGCACGATCCAAGGGCCCTCTTTTGTTCATGCAGCCTCTTCAACTATAGTCCCAACATGTGACAGTATTATATGCGTAGTGGTGACGATGTGGTAGAAATAGGTGGGGCCAGGTCGGATCGCATGTTCGGGCGGCGTGTGTGTATCGTGGCTGCCACGCGGCGTAAATAGAACAAGGCCTGGAGGAGCTCGGGTGTCAAGCGAAGGACATCGCCAAGACAGCTGTGGAGGATCTGCTACGCCGCCGAGCAGGAATAGCCGTTTTTTGGGGTGGCCTAGTGCTCTGGATTATCGGGATAGGCCTCGTCGGCGCATTGTCGCGAGGCGGGAGATCGATGTGGTTGCCGTGGTGATGACGAGTTAGCGCACTCATTATGGCCGTGCAGTCGGGACGAGATGTCATAGTAGATGCTAGCCCTGGAGGATATCGATAAACAAGTCAGCACGACTCGGCGACGCGTTGCAGCACCACTCTTGCGCCATTGAAGCCGCTGCTGCAGAAGCAATGCCGTTTGCGCTAGCATAGCATTCTTTCGACGCGCATGGGGACTCGCCAACAAGTTTCCCTCTCACCGCATCTTCAGCGTCGCCCTCCCGAGACATCACGGCCACCCGGCCTACGCGAGACATCCACCACCACCACCATGGCCAACACCCTCGCCTACCTCGAGGGCCTGTCTGAGGAGTGGGTTGACCAGCCCTCGCCCGACACAGGCGCCCACAATGCCCAGAGCCCGCCCGCGACGAAAACGCCCCAGAGCGCGTCGGCCAAAGCCCGCAGCCGCCTTCCCCGCATGCGGCAGTCGTCAGGCTCCTTCTCCGAGATCCAGGTGCGCAGCATCGCGAAAGAGCTGCGCCCGCCCAAGCAGCGTAATGCCCTCCTCGAGCGCAGCCTCAGCGACATCAACGTGCCCCCCGCCCCGTCGTCGCCCAACGCGTCACACGTCGAGCCCCCGCGTCGCGCCTCGTATTCGTCCTTTTCCATGTCGCAAGGCTCCGGCATGCAATTCGGAACAGTAGCGCATCACACGGTCGCGAGATCACCCACGAAAGAGCCAGGATCCCAGGACACGCCCGAGTGGAGACGCAGGCTCGTCAACGGCGAAGTCGGCTACGGCAACCAGACCGACCTGTTCGGCCCCACAGGCCTCGAGAACATCTTCCAGCGGCCGGCTGCAGGCGCATCAGACGACTCTGCCCAGCCAAAGCGCAGGCTCGGGCTGCTGAAGGGCCTCAGTGCCGTGCCGCTGCCGTCGAGCCCGCCGCCATGGCCCAAATCGCGACCCAACGCGCAACAGACGGAACAAGACGACCAACAACAACAAATAGACCAAGAGGGACCTTCTCAGGACGGAACAGTACACGAAGAGGGATCGTCAGAATGCACCACAAACCTCATGCCACCACCCAGCGATCCTGTTCGAACCGTCAGCGGCCAGATAGAATACGAGAACGAGAACTTCAGTCCGGTCTATCTCACCATGACCGCCAACATGAAGGTCAGCCAGGCCGCCAAGCCTGCTCCCAACTTTCGAGGATCCGAGCTTGCCAACCGCCTACGCCAGATTGGATCGCCGCCGCCAGAACAGTACGAGACTGAGCACGAGGAGAGTGCTCTGGGACACAGTCGCGAGGATTCATCCTTCGCCAGGCTACAGGACGAGTCGCTACCCGAAGGCCTCCCCGCCGGTACCCCAGACATGGGCGAGGTCCATCGCAATGTGGAGCTCCGAAGAGGCGGATACTCTAGAGACGGATCATTCCACCGGAAACCACTCAGCCCATCGCCGGAAAGAATAGCTGGGGCGCGACCGTCTAGCAGCCGTGCTGGCACAGCCCAGTCTAGTACCACCGCGAAGCACCCTACTCCTCCCCCAGCATTGAAGACCAACAACCCAACGACTCCACATCGTCGGCGCGAACAGTTCCTCAGCCCGGATCGCGCAAAGGGCTCTGGAAGTCCTCTGAAACTTTTCGACGCCCACGACACATTCACAAGCAACCGGATACAGCGACGACTTAGTCAGTTGGAGTACAAGTCCGAGAAGGCTTCCAGCGTGAAAGCCTCAAGTGTCAAGGAGGGCACGATAGAGTCAACCAAGGCGGCGTCGAACAAATCGAGATTGACTTCGGTAGAAGAGAAAAGCTTCCAGAACCCCGACCAGGATAAGTCACAGCTACCCTCCAGAGTTGTGTCTTTCGGTCAGGGTCAACTGAACCAATACGAGTACTCCGGCGATTATTCGGCGATATGTTCCGACGATGACTACGATGCACACGACGATAGCGCACCCGACGCTTCGCCTTCTTCAGACATCGCACCCCCTGGCAGTCGTCCACCCTTCAAGTTCCAGCTCGACGAATCACCAGGCAAAGTGGAACCTTCAAAGGCTAAGAGGCACCTGTCTAGCCATACAAGGAATTCTTCTAGGAATGTTAGTGCTAGCCGGCCAAAATTCGTACCACATCGAAAGGTCTCTGAGACAGAGCCGGAATCTTTCTCGGAAATCGTGCACGAGTACGCAGATGGGAAGAGAGGTCCGACATCCCCTTTCAAGAACCCGACGCCGAAGCGTAGAAGGACGATAACCGCGGTGGATGAGGATGAAGACGACGAGAACGCGGCTAGTGATACTGAGCAGGGCACAGTACAACGCTCGCACGCAGCCATACAAGCCGTTGTTGGACGTACACGACAGGAAGCTGGCCAAGACCCTTCGAAGAAGATTGCCGATTCCGAAACACTGGCCCGCAGACACATTTTGAGACCTCGGAACCCTACGCCTAGTCAACGCAGGAGAGAGGAGATACAAGCAGAGATTATGGAAGCTACTGAAGCATTCATCCTCTCGTCGCCGAAGCTCAACACCATCCGCGAACACCTAGACTCGTCAATCATGTCAGATACTGACTCGGAGCGAGACCGAGCAAAGGCGGTTGCCAATCAGATTGCCGCTTTTACCTTGAAGAGAAAGCCCAACATACGCGATAAAAACCGCAAACGATCTGTCACAACACAGGATTTCCTCGACGAAGCGCTCAAGATTATGGACTTCATCCGTACCAAGGGCAGACCAACTAGCGGTCTGGGAAGCCTTGAGGAGACGGAAGCCGAGACGCAACTGCTCGAGGAGGTCAACGATGATCCTTCTAGTATGTTGACATTTGAAAGGCCCCCAAGCAAAGAGGGTCGGCAGTCTTCCTGGCAGGACCAAAGAACGCAACACATGGATGCTGATATCATGGACCACCTCCGCAAATATCAAGAACACGAGAACGACACATTCCTGAACTCTTCAGTCAATTCCATACGAGTATCACGTTTGAGAGGATCTGCGACACCGGAAGACGAAAGTGTAGTGGTTGAGCAAGATGATATCCGGATCACCGACAATCCCAATAGGCACCGGGCCGATAGCGACGAGCGACCCAGCTCCCAGCCTCGCGGGAATAACACGCTTCTATCCACAGCTTCGTCGTTTGGAAACACAATTGTCACAAATGCATCACGCCGTTCCGAGTGTGTCGCGACCCTTGCACCCGAAGCGGTCGCGCATTTGATCCCTCAGCAGGTAGCCGGAATGAGCTTTGATCGCGACAAGAATATATGGGTCCGTCAGAAGAGCCCTTCCAGACAAAAGCACCTACTAGAGGATGAGCCAAGTGGTATGAACGCAAGCGAAGACGATCCATTTGGCAACATTCCCGATCTGACAGTGGAAGACACCCATGAGCAGGACAACAAAGCAGGCTCTCCAGTTCGCCTTCAACCTACGGCAGAAACCATACTTGAGGACACGGAAAGACCTGGAGCCGAAGAAGAGTCACGCCCTGTGACCCGTGAAGGCAAAGGTGTCGCTTACACAGATACAAGCTCGGCGCCTTCCAAGGCCTCCAACTTCGGGTGGAGCTTCCCCAAGACTGACACACGGGCCACTTCTTGGAGCACGCAAGCTCCTCGAAACTACAGTACACACAAGATGCCCCATGCGCCTACAACGTATGCCATACCGGAGTCAGAGGAAGATGGTATCGAACACGAGATCCAGTACTTTGAAGGAAGAGATCATGCTCCTGCAAGTGTGCAACGTCCGCGAGTGCGCAATGTTACTATTTCGATCGCTGAGCACGAGGCTCCTACGCGGGACCAGCATTCCGAAAGCGCACCACCACAGCGCCGCCAAAACAAATGGGGACCATCAAGTGCGCAGCAGAAGTCAGAAAGGAAACAATCTGCTTGGGAACAGACGAACGGTACCCGGACTGTGTCGCATGGGCGGCCCAGTCGTTTGCCAGTTTTCAACGGAGATGGCGATCTGTCAATTCTGGACGATGCCCCATCAAAGAACTATCGAATGCAGCTATCAATGAACGTCGCGCCTCCGCTCAGACACGAACGACGAGACACACTTGTGGCCGCACCGTCATCACCTGTCAAGGATGTTACATTCATGCTCAGCGATCTCCCCGAATTCACCCTCAACCAGATCGACGAGTTTGACCTTCCGGATCGAGTCGTCGTAAAGCACAACGGAAGTCGGTTTTCCAAGGCTCTGGAAGACCGCTATGCACAGGGTACTGCGGAGCTCGTCAAGGCGCTGCAAGATGTTGAGCCTGATGAGCCGTACTGGGAGGATCTTCGCAGCGTCAACCTCCGGAAGAAGGATCTCAATAGCGTACACCGCCTTGATGAGCTCTGCTACTCACTCGAAGAACTTGATATTTCTGACAACAAGATCAATCAGGTTGAGGGCATCCCCTACACCATGCGGCGACTACAAGTACAAAACAACTGCCTGAACGGACTTACTTCCTGGACGACCCTCGTCAACCTTCAGCACCTTGACATCTCCGGCAACGACATCGATAGGCTTGATGGTCTCGCTGAGCTTGTGCATCTCCGCATACTCAAGGCCGATAACAACAAGATTAAATCACTCCAAGGCATCCTACACCTCGATGGTCTGATGGAGTTGAGTGTTCGTGGTAACGAGATCGACATGGTTGACTTCACCCGAACGGATCTGTAAGTATATGAACTTGAACATGCCTTGTTCCCTGCTGATCCGTGCGATAGCAAATCCCTCACAGACCTGGATATGCGCAAGAATCGTTTAGTTGAAGTGCGGAATCTGCATTGCCTACCTCAGCTTCAGCATCTCAACCTTGGTATGTCTTTCCTTGCTATACCATTCGACCAATACTGACTCTCAGAAGATGACAACGAAATCGAGGAGTTCCCCCTTCTTGATGGGCCTCTGAAGCCATGCAGATTCCTGCGCTCGATCCGTATGTGCCGAAACGGAACAACACTCCTTGACGTCGACCAGTACTTCCCCAAACTTGAATCTCTCTACGTCGACGGCAACTGCCTGACGCAAGTATCTGGACTAGAACATCTCCGCCACCTCCGTACCTTCTCCGCCCGCGAACAAATCCTAAACTCGGAATCCGACATGGAGATGTGCGCAAGCAACCTAGTCCGAAACACCGAAGTCCGCAACCTCTATCTCTCCCTCAACCCAACCTACGGCCTACAGATATCTTCACACCTACTAAGTCTCCAACGCCTAGAACTCGCCTCCATGGGCCTCAAAGAACTCCCCGACAACTTCGGACAGCTAACCCCCAACATCCGCTCCATAAACCTCAACTTCAACTCACTCACCGACCTCCGCCCCCTCCTCAACATCAAGCGCCTCAGCACCCTCCTCCTCGCCGGCAACAAACTCGAGCGCCTCCGCGCCAACGCCATGGTCCTCGGCAAGCTCCCCACGCTCTCCACCCTCGACTGGCGCGACAACCCCCTCACCCTCCGCTTCTACGCCCCCACGTGCGAAAACCGCATCCTGTCTCTCCGGCAGAAACCCTCCGACGAGCAACTCACCAACCGCTTTGTACTGCCTGAGGGCGAAGTCGAAGCCGATGTCCAGCACCTGCAGCGATTGGACTATGAGACCCGGATTAGGCGTCGAGTTACTGAGATGATGTTGGCGAATCTTTGTAGGAGTCTGAGGGAGCTGGATGGGCTGCCGTTTGATAAGACGAGGGTGCTGGTTAAGGATGATGTTTGGGAGAGGTTGTTGTTTTTGGGCGTTATTCAGAGGAAGAGGGCGGATACGGCGGTTGATGAGGGGAAGTAGGGTGGTGGTGCATTAGAACATGTGAGCATGGAGTTGCGGGGACATGGAAGGGAGGTCTTGGAATTGGCGCACGTTTTGCATAGCGTTTTGGCATGGCGTTTTTGTATGATCATTTCGGAGTGGTCGGTCTCATTGTTTCCCGTTCGCGAAGCATTTATACTTGAGCATCTTCTAGGCGTAGGTATATATTGTTGGACCTCGCACGCTTCACTGCGGGAAAGCGAGGATTAGATCTTTTAATGACGGGATGAGGTGCATTTGGTAATCAAGAATAGTCTTTGCATACTACCTTCTGGACGCATTTTGATGCAGTGACGATACCTTGACGTCCATGGCCCAAAGTACGACTCACAGTCATCATTGCGAGCGAATCGTTACGACACGAGTGCGAATACAAGAAGAAGATAATTTGACATAGCTGTTGGAAGCTCCAGGGCTGAATTTGGTAACATCAGGTTTGCATACAGAGCACATCTAGGATCTATAAGCACATAGAGCTGGTGTGCTATCAAAAGGGAAGTTTCAAGGTTGCTCCTGCTGTAGGAATGATCAACCTCCCCGCGCTCCACAAAACAGCTCCGCAGAGGCCCGTGCGTCTTCCATCAAATCGATCCAGGCCCCGTGACACGTGGGCATCCCTGAACTCCAAAGGTCACCACGTTAGAGTGACCTTCTTCCATCATACAATCAACGATGTCTTCCACATCCGACGAAGACAGAGCGGTGCAACTTGCCGAGAAGGCAAGTGAGAGCACCAAATTAGGCGATTTAACCGTCGCAGCTCGGTACCTGCGTGAAGCTAGTACGATCGCACCCGAGCATCCGCGGATCAAAGAGGCATGGCTTGCACTGAAAGAAGAGGAGGGAAAGAGCGAACTACTGAGCCACTGTCGAGCCTGGGTCCGCAGCAAAGACGAACACGATGGCGAAAAGGCGCTTAAAGCAATCCGGACCCATGGCCTGAAGCAGGACGAAGCAGAACAAGCAATGGCCATCCTCTTCGACTTCAAAGGCGAAGACGACATCCTCGACCAGGTCTCAGGCGAACTACTCCAGAACCCCGGAGCCCAGATGTGGGTCGCCAAAGCCATCCGCGAGCAGCCGACACGCATCTACTACGAGATGTTCGAGCGGGGCGACGACTCCATCGACGGCTTACTCAAAGTCTGTCTCAACCGGGCGGTTTGGCCCGACGACGAATCTTTCAAGACGGGGCATAGATATATCTTCATGCTCAGTTTGGCGATGATGATGGAGGAGGCGCTTGAGCATCCTGAGCGTGCGATGAAGGGGATCGCGCAGCTGCTTGCTCATTACGCGGAGCATCTCAAGGGAATTATTGATGCGGACAGTTTCGATGTTATCCTCACTTCGCTCGATATTCGACTTCCTGCTAGTCTGCGTAGTCAGGCTACTCTTGCGAGTATCAAGTTGTTTGAGCTTGCGCCTGAGACTGCTAGCGAGTTGATCTCGAAGTTTGTTACGCACAGGACGAAGAAGGGGGAAGCGAACGATCTGGTTATCGCCTTTTCGGCGGCTGCGGCCATCTTTCCCGTCGCTGTCACAGCTGCTGCTGCGCTCTTTCTCACAGATGGCTTTGTCAGCACGTTGGTGTCAAGAGTCCAGAGCAAGAAGTCGCACAACCTTGAGCAGGCCACTCTAGAGTTAATCAGCGCTGCCTGTGTCGACAAGAACTGTCGAGAGGCGATCAGCAAAAACTGCCGAGAATGGCTGGAGGACGTGGTCGCAGAAAGCCAGAACAAGAAGCGTGCCAACTTAGCCGCGCTTGTCCTCGTCAAGCTAGGCGAAGAGCAACCGTCAGAGGATGCACCAAGAATCGTGAGGGCAGAAAAGGTAGACCAAAGCGACCTAATCGCCAGCTTCAAGTCCATGGTCATAGGCGGTGACACATCCTCAAAGCAAGACTCAGTCGAAGGACTCGCCTACGCCTCGCTTCAACCCAAAGTACGAGAAGATCTCTCCAAGTCGCCGAAGTTCCTCAAACGCCTCATCGAAACCATGAGTGATCCCTCCTCACCCAAGAACATTGTATTCGGCGGCCTGACCATCTTCGTCAACATCACACAATACCTGCCCCTGCAATCCGAGGAGGAAAAGCGCATGGCACAACTCAAAGCCTACGCGAACGTGCAAAAGCCATCGGCCCCCCACGTCCTCCTCAACGACGAAGACGTCGCCATACGCTGCAAACGCGTACTAGACGCCGGCGTCGTCCCCCTGCTGGTGCAAGTCTGCAAAAAAGGCTCCCCATCCATCCTCACGCAAAGCAGTCTAATCCTGCTCTCCCTCTCCAAAGACACAAAGTCCCGCGGCACCATGGCCCAACAAGGCGCGGTAAAACTTCTCATCCAGATCTACGACCACATCTCCTCGACCAACGACCTCTCAACAACCGGCACCACGCCCTTCCCTCCCGCCGCCCTCCCCACAACAGCGCAAGCCCTCTCCCGGCTCCTCATCAGCATAAACCCATCTCACGCTTTCAACGCCGCACTCCCCAGCGCATCAGCAATCCGCCCCCTCCTCAGCCAACTCACACGAACAGAGTCTTCAACCTGGCAACTGCATGCCTTTGAAGCGCTCCTCGCACTCACGAACCTCGCTTCTCTGGACCGGAATACCCAGGACCATATCATCCGCCAGTCTTTCGACACAGTCGTTGACGACTTGTTGCTTAGTTCCAACACCATGATCCGGCGTGCGGCTACGGAGCTCCTATGTAACCTCATGGCCTCACCGGTTTGCATTTCAAACTTCGCAGACGGCTCACCGCGGGCGAAACACCGACTCCATCTTCTGCTCGCTATGACGGATGTCGATGATGCTGCGACACGATCGGCGGCTGGAGGCGCGCTGGCGATGTTGCTGAGTGTGGATCTTGCGGTGCTGGAGTTTCTCAAGCAGGATAAGAGTGTGGAATGGTTGGTGGGGCTGTGCAACGATGAGGACGAGGGGATTAGGTACCGCGGGATTGTTTGTCTGAGGAGTGTGGTGGATGTTAAGGAGGGGGTGGACGTTTGTAAGCAGAGGGGTGTGGTGGAAGAATTGAAAGGTGTGTTGCAGGAGAGTAGGAGTCAGGAGGTGCTGGGGGTGGGGGTCGAGACTATGAAGATATTGTTGGGGCAGTAGACAAAAATGTTTGATGAGGATGCGATGCAATGGAATGAGGAGGTGCGATGAATTGGAATGAATCGCATGCATAGTTTCTCAGTAAAGAAGACGCGTATAGTTCACGGGTTGTACCCTTCCTTGAGTAAAGAGATTCGCTCTGAGTTCAGTAAAGCCGTTCATAAGATTCCCAATATTGATTCTTCTTCAACCTGGCATCTCCACGCTTCCATCCCCTTATCATACAAACCTACTTATATATCCACCAGCCTGACATGCCTAACATCCATCTTCTCAACACACTCCCCCGTAACCGCAGACACCCTCCCCTCCTTCCCCTTCCCAAATCGTTCATATTCCGCCACACTCCTCCACGAAAACATCGTCACAAACACATCATCTTCTCCCTCCTTCTTCCCAACACACCATCCACCCCCAACCCCGCCTTCTCCAGCAAACCTATCCAACTTCTCCTTCATCTCCCTGAACTCAACTTCGAAAGCCTCTCTGTTTCCAGATTTGATAGTATAGTGAGTAATACTCCACACCACTTCCCCCCTCCTCGCCCTCTCCATCTCCCTCCCCCCTCTCGGCAATGGCAGCTCCGCATTCGGCACATCGAGATGTTCAAGGTTGGAATCCACGGTTATGTAGTCTTTGAGGCTCTCGAGCAGTGCTTGGTTTTCGGCGCTGGGGATGAAGTCGTTCAAGTGCTGGTCTAGCGAGTCCCATTCTCCCACTACGTAGATGCAGCTCGGATCGGAGATTTGCTGCATGTAGTAGAAAGCGCGGTTTGTGTAGTTCTGTAGGACGGTTTTCGCGTGGGAGAGGTTGGTGCGGAGGGTGGGTGATTCGGGCGTGGTGCCGGGGGTGAGGTGGAGGAGGGCGAGTTCGGTGATGGGCATTTTGGGTGGTGGTGGATGGGATGTTTGGAATGGAACTATTGCTGTGGTGAGTGGGTTAATGCGGTGTTAGTAGGTGATCAAAGCGAGATTGCGCGTCTTTATAGCATTGATGAGAGGGGTGCTGCGAGTGTAAGGCAGACATGGCTGCGTAATCGAGTTCAGGCAGAAGGACGGTTACGCGGAGTTGGAGGAATCGCGTAGGAGCGTGTTGCATGACGCAACGGCAGGATGCCTGAGCTGGCTTAGTCAGCGGCCAACGCGACTTTGGCGTCCTCGACTCGCGTCATTGACTACCACGACACACACGCGTATGAAGCAGCTCATTTCTTATGAGTGATACTATCGATGATATTCTGAAGGCACACGTCTCTGCTTGTTCTGGCTGAGTCGAAACTTATCGCGTAGAATCCCTGGGCACATTCTTAGTCGAGGGTGCCAGTTAGCGTCTCCTAGGATTGCATCGATCCACCAGCTTTATCCGGCAAGTGTACGCGAAAGAGATATCGAGCTCATAATGGCTTCTCCTGCATTGGCTAAGAGGCGATTTCGGCGCGTTGCGCGGTCTCCAATGAACTCAAAGGTGGGAGCTGTACTGATAAGCAGCCCGTTATCTTCGGAATGGTTCCGAATGCACCCCTCGCGATCATGCATGAAAGCATTGGATGCCGGTAGTGCCCTCGCACACCTGGAAGATTGCATCTATAAGTAACTGTTTCGTTGCTTTGCTAACAAATTCTTCTCTTGCTGTTGATTTCAAGGATTCGTGGCACCAACTTCTAATATGGAGCATCTGCCGGATATCGTACCCCATGCTAGGTATATGCCGTCTGGTCATATAGTAGTTGCATCAATCATCGCAGCTGTTGCATTTGTAGCGTACAAGGTATTTGTTTCATTTGAGTTTAGCTATGATCAGCAATGTTGACAGGTACATAGGTACTGACTGGCACCGACATCCCATACATACGCGGTATACCAGAGATACCAGGTGCTCTTCCAATTACAGGTCACCTCACCCAGCTCGGCGATGACCATGCGACAGTGTGCGAAAAGTGGTGGCGGCAGTATGGCAACTCGGTCTTCCAGATTCGACTTGGCAACACGCGCGCTGTGATTGTCAACTCCTTTGAAGATTGCAAGAAGATTCTGGTATCAAACTCGCAGGGACTGATTGATCGGCCGAAACTGTATACCTTCCATGGCTTGATCTCATCGACACAGGGATTCACTATCGGAAGTTCGCCATGGGACGAGAGCTGTCGGAACAAACGCAAGGCTGCATCGACCACCTTGAGTAAGGGTATGATGAAGAATTACTACGACATGTTCGACCTGGAATCCTACTGCATAGCCCGAGATCTTTGTCGTGACAGCAAGAGTGGGGAGGTCGAAGTCAGCATCCGACCCTACATTCAGCGCTACGCCCTCAACACCACCCTCACATTATGCTATGGCATCCGCATGGACGCAGTATACGACGATCTTCTCCGCGAGATCCTTGAAGTTGGCTCAGCTATCTCGCTTCTACGCTCCGCCTCAGAGAACTACCAAGATTATGTCCCTATCCTGCGATACCTCCCCAACAACGAAAAGAACCGGCGCTCGAAAGAACTACGCGAGCGGCGAGACAAGTACCTCAACGAGCTTCTAGACAAGGTCCGCGAGATGATCAAGAACGGCACTGAGAAACCATGTATCAGCGCCGCCATCCTCAAAGACGAAGAGACCCGCCTTACAGGTGTCGAAGTGAGCTCCATCTGTCTGTCCCTCGTCTCCGGTGGCTTTGAAACGATACCCGGTACATTGGTATCCTGCATTGGTTCTTTGTCTACACCCGAAGGCCAGATCTACCAAGAACGCGCGTATGCAGAGATTCGCAAAATGTATCCGGACGACGCAGCGTTGAGGGAAGCGTGGGCAGCAGACTTTGAGAAGGAAACTGTGCCCTATCTGAACGCGATTGTGAAGGAAGCGGGAAGGTACTATACAGTCAGTAACATGAGTCTACCGCGTAAGACGATGAGCGAGGTCAGGTGGGGCGATGCGGTTATACCGAAGGGGACGATGGTGTTGATCAACGCTCAAGCTGGGAATCATGGTAAGATGGTGCTCATTTCCAGGACATGAGTAGAGACCTAACAGTCCGTAGACACAGACTACTTCGGTCCCACCGCCGCAACCTTCAACCCCGAACGCTGGCTCACACCCCCGACCTCCCCATCATCCCTCCACACACCGACTCCCCACGCGAACCTCCCTCACCTCTCCTTCGGCGCTGGCTCCCGATCTTGCCCCGGTGCTTTGATAGCAAGCAAACTCATCTACGCCGCGCTGTTTCGTTTGCTTAGTCTGTACAAGATTGAGGCTAGTGTGCAGAATCCGCCGAATACGGATTATGTGGATTACAATGCTATTAAGAGTGCGCTGGTGGCTATTCCGCGGGATTTTGGGGTCAGACTTGTTCCGAGGGATGGGGAGATGGTGAAGGCGGTGCTAGAGGAGGGGAGAGTGAGGACGGCGGAGTTGTATAAGGAGTGATGCGTGGCGGCGACATTAGGTTCGTGGGTGTAGTTCCGGAGGATTTTGTTGTGATGTAGGCGTCCTGGAGCATTGATCTGGGGATTAGATCATGTCTCGTCGGAGCATGGGGTTCGCGCGCGCTAGCAATACTGTCTGTTCTCTCGCCTGCCTATGATTCACTCACTTCACCGCTGGGTGCGGTTAGCGTATACGGGGCGACAAACGCTCTTTCCTTGTCTACCGCGCACCATCGGTATTCGGCAACATCCCACAACCCACCTCAAAACTTTCAGTTATGAGGCCCCGGAGTACTCTAGGCGTCGCTATCGCGCTCGTCGCCTTGGTCATCGGTAGACATATCGACAGTCCCGTGATTACCAGAACTTTCGGTATCGACTCCTCGGACGCTCCTCCCCAGTTCAGCCCTCCAGAGTTCAATGCTCCGGAATTCGCTCCTCCTGCTCTCGCTCCCCGTGCCGATGGCGGCGACTTCAATCCAGGCAACTGGGCCGATGACACTAAATGGCAAAAGTACCTGGACAAGGGACATCACTTGACGTGTCTCATGGACGCCACCGACAGAGGCGCCGGATGGCTCTCGAAAGATACAAGACAACCGCCTTCCGCAGCGAGCAAATGGACCGGCGAGCTCAGAGCTGAGATTCCATTGTGGTACTGGCACGAAGGGGATGTTGACACGGGCTGGGATGGCGATTTCGAAGCCAAGGGGCTCAAAACGGCGTTTGAAGGCCACGGTCTCAACTCGCAACCGAAGTTTGACGACGAAGGCGAGCGGCTGGGTGGGGACAATGAATGCTTCAAGATTACACACTATGACGAAGAACGGGAACCGGACCCACGCCCCCAATTTGGGGGTATGATGGCTTGCAAAGACCAGGATTATTACGTTGCGGGCAAAAAATACTTGGTATGTCATACTCGATCCAACAGCACCTATAGCTGTCACAGAATTCGATGGAACAAGCATTGTTTGATTTTGAAAGCACGTAGCTGACACAGTCCAGTCAACTTGCGGTTACTACGAGTTCACTGTCAACATCGGTGCAAACGGTGGAGGCATCATGGCAACGAACATCGAGAGTCCAGGCCATGCTGTTCTTGGTAACATGGGATGGGGTCGGCCAGCAAACCCCGGAGAGCTGCCCGAACTTCGTACCGCGTCCGACATCTTCTGGGGCTATTGGGTTCGCGACAACCCCAATGTCAAGAACTTCCGCATGTACGCCGCTCACCATGTCATCAATCCTGATACCTGTCTCCTGGTCGCTCGGGCGATGAAGAACAAAGGCATTAAAAAGTTATCGCCCTGGCCGGGTGCTGTATTCCCAATTGGGACTGAGGAATACACTGCGCTCATTGGTAAGTAACCTCACCCACGTACTCCCCTTTGCAGATTACGTTGCTCTTTGTAACGTTGGTCCAACGTCCGGAAACCCATTGACGACCTCCTGGCCTAATTATCAGGTCGCTGCTGCGACCTGAAATCATACTGACTACCTCCAGCCTCACCCATCGGCGCGACGGCAGCATACTTCCTGACGACCCACAAAGCCGAACTCGGCATCAAACGTATCTCTAAGGTGACCGTTGTGACCAATGTGAAGTCTCCCAGCAGAAACCGGAGGCTCGCGTTCGATATGCACATCTTCTTCGCCATTGAAGATGTACCGCAGGACCAGGTGACAAAGCCTGGTGGAGACGACGCTGCCGTCAAGAGAGAGACAGGACATATCGACTCCAAGCTCGTCAGCGTCAGGGATAACGGGACAAGTTTGATTCGCTTACATAGCATGATGGCCTAGAGCTGGGTGTGGCGTGTGGAAGGACGGGCGTGGCTGGAGGGGGAGGGAGGGCTTTGCGTGAGTAGACATGTACGTAGAACATGGTGCGGATATCCCCAGAATCTAATAGCACTTGCTCCAATCTCTTGCGGTATGACACTAGCATCCTGGAAAGGCTCCAATCTGTATCGTATTCGGCAAAATTATAAGTAGGGCGGATGGATGCATCGTCTTTGGAAGTATACACTTATCAACATTTAGTGAGGTGTATTCTGCAATACGGATCCTGCAACTATGCAGCTCCCTCGAGTTCCCGCACCCTTGCTAGTATATCCTCCTTCCAACTCATATAATCCTCCTGCTGGCGCTCTCCCAAATAGTCAGTAGCGTCCTGCATCATCGTCCCCAACCCAATGTAATCACTCCCACCAGATCTCAGCCCCATACCATTCGCCTTGGCCGCGGCAGCACCATCGCCCATCTCTACACCTTCCATCTCCTCCCCATCGCCCTGCGGCTTCACGCTATCGAACCACTGCATTTGCAGCCACCCCTCTTCCTTCGCCATCTTCATCGTCTCTTCGATCTTGGCTTGTAGCTCGCCATCCTCGACATCCTTTGTAGCGGGGAGGACCAGAACGGCCTTCACTGCTTTGGCCAGCCATTCGTTGTATTGTT